GGGGGGGGGGGAGCGCAGTGATCTGTGGTTGAAAAATCACTTTATCACTTTTCCATCATATTGTATTGGAACTATTAGATCAGCTCAGAGCAGAGCTGCGGGTGGCAGAAGCAGGTTCATTTGGGCTGCTCCACTTGGTGGGTACAATGTCCCCTGTCTCTTTTCTACTCTTCCTCATCTCTAGATCGGCTATATGATAACATATCAATTTAATTGTATATTTTCTCTTTGAGGCTGAAAGTTGAAGATGGCAGAGCGTGAAAGCACAGTGATAAACACCGATGTGAACCAGGTAAAAGGTTGCTCATTACACAACACGCATCCTGTATTTCTAAAGCAAGTTTTGAAATGCCACCGCAGAGGAGGACACACCACAACCCAGAGCTGTGGTGGCCTGAATTGCTTGTACCTGGGTTTCCACAGAATTGGCCTGTCTCAGGGCTGCTGGGCACCTGGTCCCAGTGAGATCCGTGCAGTTTCCAGATGGGAAGAGGTTGCAGGGCTGAACTTCCAGTTGCATGGACAGGATGGGTGTATTTGCTCACACTTGAATTTTGGAGCAGCCAAGGAGAAAGCAGCAGCTTCTTTAAATATATAGAGACTTTATTAGACTCTCCAGAATGGACACAAACAAAGAGTGAAACCACCTGTAAGTGCAGAGAAACCCAGCAGTGCCCAGTTCAGCACAAACAGCTGAGCATGGCCGTTCTGTGCTCACAAACAGCAAAATTATGGAGCAATCCCCTCTGGTGCCAGCTGTCCTCAAAGCATATGGCACTTACCAGACAGGTTAGGGTTTCATAAGTGTCTATCCTACCCTTGATGGCCTGAAGATGAAGATTGGGCTTGGTACCTCTTCTCCAAAGGCCCTCTGGCATCAGGAACTCTGATACACGGGTGATGCCTCCAACACCCAACCCCACCACCCTGGTTGGTGAAGCCCTGTGTCCCCCTGCTCACTCCACCTCCAGAAGCTCCTTCTTTGCTGTCCCCCAACCCCTCTTTTCTCCCTGTCCTGCAGAAAGACCCCAGCGAGGCACTGGTCATCGCCGTGACCACCAGAGCCATCTTCAACCTGGAGGAGGAACACAAGCTCTACCTGGAGAAGGGCAAGGAGGAGTACGCAAGGCACCAGAAGGACAACCAGGACAAGCCCCTGCCGCCAGGCACAGCCTTCGCCTTCATCCAGGTGAGCCCCACGCCTGGCCAGGGACACATGCAGACACTCACAGGACGGGGTGAAAGCTCAGCTTTCCTGGTTTTAAGTCTCTCATATCACGAGGTGCAGATATGCCTGTCCTGGCCTCTTGACCTCATTTTAGGACATAGAGACCTGTGTTCCTCACCAGTCCCACATGTCCACCTCCTCCCTGGTGAGATATCCTGCTCCCTGCCCTCCTTGTGATGGCTTTTGCAGGTTGATTGACTCTGTCTGGCTCTCCACAACATGCTAGCCTTGCCCTAGCTGACAGATGCAGCACAAACCACAAACTTTGACTGCGAAAGATCCCCAGCAATCCATTGCAGTCATGCCCCTCCAAAAGAGTCTCAACTTCTCCTCGCAGGCAGCGCAGTATGTGAACAAGAAGATCCTGGAGAGCAACCCAGAAGAGAAGGACCTCATCGACATCCTGGTGCTCTCTAACAACAGCCCAGAGAGCGGTGTGCGTATTGTCAACAGCGTCAAGCACTACGGTAAGGGGGTCCCCATCCCCAGGGGTGCCTGCTTCCCCCCAACCCCTGGGAGCCTGCAAAGTTAGTAAGGCACTGCAGTGGAGCATCAGCAGCAAATACAGAGCCAGGAGATACAAGGGGAAGGGGTTATTTTGGAAACAAGCCCAATTCTTGCCAGCCCTACGCAGGTTGGCCAGGGTGCCGGAGCACAGCCAGGGTACAGGTTCCTCGGCAGAGCCCAGCTCCCTTCGGCCATATCCTTTGCACCAGGGGGTCTGGCAGCATTTTGTACAGCCCGGGCATCCTCAGGCAGCTATTAAAAAAAATAGTTCTTAAAAAAAACCACTAAACCCACAGTGCTGTCATGAAGGCTCATTTAAGGAAGGGATGAAGGGAGTATTTAATTGCACTCTGCAGTTTTGTAGGAGCAAGAGGGCAAGAAGATGCAGCTAGAACATGGGTGGGTTCCCCACACAGCGCTGGGGAATGAATTGCCCCAAGCTTTGCAGCAAAACACGCTGAGACCCGGGGAAGGGAAGGGGAGCTGCAAGGAGGATGTTGCCCCATAACAGACTTTGCTCATATCCCCTGACCTGAAGGCCTGGAGATCTCCAAGTTCTGCTTCGTCAGCGATGAGGACTCCACAGCATACCTGAAGTCCCACGGGGTCAAGCTCTTCCTCTCAGCTGACAGGACAGACGTCTGCAATGCCCTCCGGAGAGGTGTGTTCTCCCCCTCCATCCCACGTCCCCAAACCCACCACACTTTTCTCAAGCAGCTCAGTACCAAGAGGCAACACCAGAGGCCATGCTCGCACAGAGGCAAGGGAGTAAATGGTCCACTGATTACTAGTACAGTCCTGAACAGTTCAATCTCTTCTGTCCCCACAAGTAGCTTCCAAACACACCAGGGTTTCTCAGATGCCTTCACAAGTCCCCAAGTGCTTTATGGATAATTCTGGCTGTAGCTCTGCCATGGGCTGGTCGTTCCCCACCTGACATTTAAGCCTTTCTAACCAAAGATGCTGCCCATGGCTGCTCCCTGGATCAAGGAGAGTGCCTCAACAGTTCCCAGGGCTTTGTGAGGATGCTATAGAAATTCGGTTTCTTGGTACATGCAGAGTTACAGGTGCTCCATGATAGATGTAAGCGCATGCTTGCCCTGGACCAGAAGGAGTGCAGTCTCCCCAACAGCTCTAATGGGGTTAATCACCTTGGGTATGAGCACATCAGCTGGCCAAGGTCCTTCAAGGTCAGGAGCAAGCCATCTGCAGCCTGGGCTTTCCTTCGCCACACAGCACATTCCTGGAGCCTCCTTGGAGAGCATCATTGCTCTGACAAGCATCTCTCATCCGGGGGCCTGGGTCCACAGATGAGGGCAGGCAGGGAGCAGCTTGTAGGAAGAGATCTGTAATTAAGCCAATTACCCCAGTCAAGTGGAGGTGCCAGTCCCTATTACTCACAGCACAGAGTGCTAAATCTGGGCGTTAAAGCCAGGCTTGGCAGGGTGAGCGAGCACCAGGAGAAGGGCTGCTCATGCCTACACAACCAGCCCTCATCTCTGAGCAGACCTCAGTATCTCTCCAGACATTAGTCTGATCAACAGCGCTTTCTTGTCCATCCCCATGGGGGGAGGGATAACACAGCCCTAGAAAGGTTGGGGAACCCCCACAGAAAATCCCCCAGCTTGGAGACCCCAACGTTGTGGTGTGGGACAGGGCCGTGGCAGATGCATGGAGAGGACCATGCCATGCACGAGTCCCCATGATCCCCCCTAGGAGGGGGTGTCCCTCCTGATCTCCACCTTGCTCTGTCTTGCAGGGGTCTCAGCAGCACTCGTCTTCCAGCAAGAGGTGCGGGCCCCCAGCACCCAACTCCGTGTGGTGTTTGATGGGGATGCTGTGCTCTTCTCCGATGAGACGGACCAGGTCTTCCAGGAGCATGGGCTGGAAGGAGCAGTGCAGTACGAGCGGGCGATGGAGGCCGTGCCCATGGGAGAGGTGAGCAAGCCACCCCACTTTCATGGGCACCCATGGGCTCTGCACCCACCAAGAGCATCTCTCCTGCTACAGCTTTGCCATGTGTAGCCAAAAAAAGCACAAGTCCTTACAGGTTCCCTTTATATCCCCCACTCTGTCCCTGGTATGGGCCTGATCTGGAGTCCCACTGGAGATGGATCTGGCTCGATGTCTCCTGCAAGTAAACATCAGCTCCCAAATATCCAGGGTTGTGGTTACCCACATCACCTTTTGTGGGCTGAGACCTCTTGCTGTGCAAGTCCTTGCAGGACTCAGACCCAGAGGCACTGCTCACTGGGATGTACCTTCCTGGTCACTTTGGGATGAGCACCACAGTGCTCACCTTCCTCCCAAGCACCCCAGTGCACAGCACCAGCCCCAGCATTGCCTGATCCTGCACCCCACAGGCATCTCTGTGCTCTGCAGAGCCCAGAGGAACCCTGGAAGAGGAACAAATGGCTTGTACAGGCCAGACAGACACAGTGTGCTTCTACAGAGGAGATGTCTCCTTATTTCCCACCTGCTCCCAAGTGTCTTGTTGTGCTTCCAGGGTCCCCTGAAGGCTTTTGCCATGCACCTTGGGAAGATACGCAAGAAATTCAGCCAGGAAAAATCCCCCATCCGCACCTACCTGGTGACCGCCCGCAGCGGCCGGGACATGGGCATCCGAGCCATCAAGACGCTCCGGGAATGGGGTCTGGCCATTGATGAGGCTTTCTTCATGGATGGGGCTCCCAAGGGCCCTATCCTCACCCAGATCCAGCCCCATATTTTCTTTGATGATGGGCTTCATAACATCCAGGGGGCTCAAAATGTGGGTATACCCTCTGCCTGGGTCCCCTCCTGCTGAGGATGGACTGCAGGCCAGCAGTCCTCCCTCCCAGCAACACAGGGGACTGGGCCAGTGGAAGGCAAACCTTCTGATGGATAAAGAAGGTTTTCCCAACCTGCAGCAAGCAAACCTCAGGGAAAGGGGGCAAGAGCGTTGCATGACAGCACAGACTACCAGGCAAGAGTTGATGCTCATTTCTGCTCCTGATAGGAGGTCCTTTAGGTCTTAGGATAAAGCCAAAAAACACACCTGCTCCAGGAAGGAAGGACACCTTTTGCTGTGACATTGAGGACTACCATCTACCTGCCCTGTAGGACCTGGAGACTTTTCTCTTTTGCAAAGAAATAAGTGAAGGTATCACCCCACACACAAGCTAAAGGAAGCAGGAAACCAAGCACTAGAAATGCTAGTTTTGGCTGTGATCAGACAGTCTCCAAGATTTACTCCCATGACATCTGCCCAAAGGAAGCTCTCAAGACCCTGCCTCACCAGACACACTCAGCTTGGTTTCCTGAGGAGGCTGATGTGCTAGCAAGTTCTTCAGGCAGCTCCGGCCAAACTCAGCAGAGGAAGAAAGACTTCAAAGCTGGAAAGGACCTAGAAACTTTTTAGAAATTGGTGAGCATGTTGAAGAAAGCAAACCCAAGCTATGTCCCCTTACAGAAGGGTTTATAGCCCAAGTCACCTTTCCTTAGGCATGCAGGTTGAGTGCCCTTAGGAGATCCAGAACCATAGGATACTCAGCTCCTAGAGCTGCAGGAGATGGGTCAAGGACAAGGTTGAAGCCCAGGTCTGAGGTCCATCCAGGAGGCAGAGCTGCCATGTAGCTCCGATGTCCCACCAGGAGATGGTGCTGGAGCTGCCTGCAGCACAAACCATGCATGGCCAGGGCTGCAGACCAGCACCACAGGGGCCAGGGCAGGACTGGTGCCTGAGCTTAAATAGGTCTCCAGGGCTGTGGGTGGAGGGCGTGGGTGGGGGTCCCAGGTGTGGCTGCTCAGGGCAGATGGGGTCCGTGGGTGTGCTCAGGACCCTACCTGGCACCAGGCC